GCACGGCCGGTCACCGAGGGGGAGGTACGGTCGAGGGAGGGGGGCCCGGGGGCGAGGGCAGGCGGCCAGTCGCGCCTGGCCTCCCCCCCCCCCCCCCCCCCCGGCCGGGGGCAGGGGCATGGGGAAAAGCAGGGCGAAGGAGGGGGACAAGCAAAAGCCAACAGCAGCGGGCCTCGCCAGCATGTGTGCACGTACCCTGGCGGCAGAGTTCCGCCGCGTAGCGGCCATGCGCGGCGCCGGACAATTTGGCCAAGGCCACCCAGGCCCGGCCCCGGCGACGTGCATGCGACCGGCCCCAGAGCAAGGCTGTCAGCAGGTCCATCGCCAGTTGCCGGGCCCTGGAAAGGTGCATGCGTTGGGCGGTGGCGGCCGAGGCGGCATCCCCCGGGCCGGGGGCCCTGCAAGCCCCGACGGCCGCGGCCCAGCGGCACAGGTGCTGGCCCCCGCGCCAGGCCAGTCGCGCCAGGACCGCGCGCTCGTCCAGCTCGAAGGACGGGCGCCAGGGGGTCTCGGCACTGTGGTCGCCGAAGTCCCACGCCGCCGGGGGACCGCCGGCAGGCGGGGCATCCCCCATCGGGGCTTCGGCCCCATGCAGACAGCAATGCCCGTACCGGGCCATGTCGCTGCAGGCCACAAAGTGCCCGGCAGCCAGGGAGGCATCCCCGGCGGGCGATGGCTCGGACTCCCGCCACAGGGAGGCAGGCGCCGACCCGGCGTCCGGGCCGCTGTCCAGCAGGCCGGCCAGGCGCTTCTCCACATGCAGGCCGGCCCCGGGCTGGGCCTCATACAGGGGCCGGTAAATGGCCGGGAGACCATGCTCCAGGTCCACATCCAGCGGGCTGCCCGGGGCGGCCGAGAGGCCCGCGCGCTTCAGGGCATTCAATCGGCCGAGGGCCAGCTCCAACACCTCGGCCACTGGGGCCCATGCGGCCAAGCCCGGCGACGTCGCATGCATGGTGGCCACAAGGGGCCAGGGGGGGGAAAAAAAAAAAAGAAGAGGCAAGGCAGCCGGACCGGCAAAAGTGTCAGTCATCCATCCGAGCCGGGCAGTGGGCCAGCAGGCCGGACGTACGTGCGGCATAGTAGGTCCCCGGGTCCGCGGTCGAGGAGAATTCGAAGGCGCTGCGCAGCGAGCGGAAGTGCCGCTCCAGTGCCCGGGCCGAGGTCATATGCCGCAGGTGCAGAGCCCCCTGCCACAGGAGGCGATCGACCTCCGGGCCGGTGCACGCGGCCCCGGGCCCGGCGCAGCCCCGGCAGCATGGGCGCTCACGCAGCAGGCAGGCCGGCACGCGGCCCGGGAAGGCCGCCCCGGGCGGCGGATCCAGCAGGCAAGTCACCGCATCCACCGGGCGCACTGGCCACTCGGGCAGCGAGGCCAGCCAGAGCGGATGTGCCTCGAGCAGGTTGCCGACCATCGGCCCGGCGTCGGCCGGGGCGTGGTAGAAATCCCGCGCGATGGACCGGCCACCGGCCGAGAAGACCGCCTGCCCGGTGTCCGGCCGGCCCCAGCGGACAAAGCGCGCCCGGGCCCAGGGGCTCTCGGGCAGCGCCCCGGCGCCGTCCTCCTCCTCGCCATGGTCTTGTCCATGGTCTCGGCGCTCGGTCGAGGCCAGGTTGTCGGCCGGGGCGGCGGGTGCGCCGGCCGGGCCGCCGGTCGTCGCGGTCGAGGCCAGCATGGACTGCTCGTCCAGCAGCATGAGCGCCAGCAGGGCGTGAATGCACTCCCCGGTGGCCGGGGCCAGCGCATACAGCGACCCACTGAGCAGGGCGACGGCCGGCCCGGCCCCCGGGCCGGCCCCAGCTTCGGCCTCGCGTCGGGCACTGGCCAGCAGGTACCGGTACAGCTGCTGCCGGGTGGCAAGGTAAAAGCCCCGGAAGGGACAGCCCCCACGATGGCGCAGGGCCTGCCCAAGAAGTCGCGCATCCAGCTGCTGCAGTAGGGCCAGGAGCTCCGGCCGCCGGCCGGCCCGCACGGCCCCCAAATCCAGCAGGAAGGCCAAATGCGACAGGGCCTGGCGAATGCCGGCCACCTTCATGCCATCCAGCAGCGCACTCAGCCGGCGGCCACTGGCCTCGAGCTGGTTGGCCAGGGCCAGGTCGGCCGGCGAGGCGGCCGCCAGGTCGGCCCCCTGGCAGATGCACACCGAGGGCGGCGGCAGGTGCGTGGCGTCCACCGGGCATTCGCCCGCCGGGGCCACCGCCTGGCCGAGGGTGATGACCTGCTCCCCGAGCGGCGGCGTGGTTTCCGCGGCATCCACGGCGCCGGTGCGCCGCACCAGGCCCAGGGACGTCAAATGCTCCAGGGACTGGGCCACCTCGCGCAGGCAGTCCTCCGGTGACAGGGGACAAATGGACACCCGATTGGGGCCCGCCGGCCCCGGGCCTTGGGCCGACTCTTCGTGGCCATCCTCCGGCTCGCCCTCCGAGGGGAAAGCCTCATGCTCCGGATCCTGCTCGGAGGCCAGGTCGACTGTGCGCAGCCGGGCAAAGCGCCGGGCCACGCGCAGCCCCGACACCAGCGGGGCCTGGTGCTCAAACTGGCCGGCATTCCACGGCCATGTATGGTGTTGAATGTGTTTTGTTGCATGTGAGTGTGCGGATATGTATATATATATATATACATATATACATATATGCGGGTATGAGCAGATATGTGCAGATATGCGTGCGGATGTGCGCAGATGCACGAGTGGAATCACAGCGCGGGAAACCAGCCGACCGGAGCAACAGGCCGGGTGACGAACCAAATAGAAGAGGATCGAGCGGTCCAACGACGACAGGGGCAGGCGGAAAAGGGAAAGCGGCCGCAAGAAGCGCGCAACCGGCCGACCGTCGGCCGGCCGGTGCACAGTGACCGTCCGGTAGCGGTCCAGCAGCACGGCCCCCGGGGCCAGCAGGGGGGCCTGGCAGGCGGATGGATTGCATGCGTCCCCGCCGGCCACCGCAAAGTGCCCATACACCCACCGGAAGAGATGCTCCCCCAGGGGATCCGTGGCGGAGGAGAGGCGATCGGCGCGTGCGGCGAAGTCCGGCCGGCCAGCCGGCGGGGCCCCGGGCCCATGGCCCGCCGGACAGGCGCCCGCCCCGCAGGGAGAGCGCACATCGACGCTCTCCTCGGTGGCTGGCGACAAGTGCCCCTTCGTGGGTGACTCGAGCAGGCACATTGCCTCGTGCTTGGTGGGTGACGACGGCTCGGCAAGGGCCGGCGGGGGGGCCGACGAGGCGTCCCTGGCAGGGGGAACCGGCGTCAGGGGCGACCGGGGCGCCGAGCGCCGAGCGCGCTGCCGCTGGCCCGGGGTCTGGCTGACGCCCAGGTCGAAGAGAGTCGGCTGATTGGCCGGGCGGGTGGAAGCGCGTGCGCGGGTGGGGCCGCCAATCGCGCGCGGTGGCGTCATCGTCGGCGTCGGCGTCGGCGTCGTCCTGCCAAGGGCACCCGGCGACTGCGATGCCACTGGGATCTCGGACGCCGGGTGGGCGTCCGCCGCCGGGCCCGGCGCCAGGACCGGGCTGCGATCGCCATGCCCCGAGGCCAGGCACGAGGAGGAGGACTCCAGGCCGGGGGTCTCGCAGTGGGAGAGGTCCGGGCCCGATGCCCCAGTGGCGCCATCCGGGGACGCGGGGCAGGGGGACGACCCGGGCGGGGGGCCCGCGGCAGACCTCGGGCCGGGTGCCGAGCTCTGCTGCGGGGGGACAGTCATATCCACGATCGGAATGGGGAGGTGGCAGAGAGACGGCCGAGGAGCACAATCAACGTGGAATCGGGCAAAGGCAGATGATGCGGGAGAGCGGGGAGAGGGGGGGGACAGGCCGGAAGCACTGCGAACACTCGGGCAAGACTGGGCGAGAAAAATCTATTGGCACACCGGCGCCGCCGTTCCGCCCGCCCCCCTGGGCGGGGGAGCCGCAGAGCGGCGGCGAGGACGGACGCAGGCCGGCGACGCCCGAGCGAGCAGACAGAGGGTATGTGAAGGGGCGGCCCCCCCCCGGGGGGCGATGAGGAGCCAGACCCGGGACGCGCGGCGACGCCGCCGGGCGCAATCGAGATCGCGCCGGCCGCGGCCGCCCCGGGGACCGGCGCCATGCCGGGCGACTGCCAACGGATCAGCGTTTCCTTGGGCCCGCGCCGCGGCCCGCCGCCGGCCGGGCCGGGCTGTCCATGAATTCCGACACGAAGGCCGGCGAGGCCGGCGAGAAGGCCACCTGGTGCGGGCCGATGGCGGCGGCGGCGGCGGTGCCGGCCGCGCCCGGGCGCCCGGCGGTCGGGGTGGTGCCGGCCAGGGGCAGGGTCGCCCCCCCGTCGGCCGGGCTGCCCCCGGGCCCGGGCCCGGCCCCGGCAAATAGCTGCATGTCGCCGGGGCTGGGACTGGGCCCGGCGCTGGCGCTGCCGAAGGCCCGCAGCAGCGCCGACCCCGGGTCCATGCTGCCGATGCTCTGATCGCTGGGCAGCTGGTGCAGGTCGCGCCAGGCCGCCTCGGCCGGGTCATCATCCGGGGAGGTGCGCCCGCTGGCGATGGTCACCGGGCGCGGGGCCTGCCGGCTGAAGGCCAGCGGCGGGGCCTCCGGCCCGGCGTGCGGGGTCGGCAGCGGCGGCCGGGCGTCCGCCCGGCCGGCCGGCCCGCCGCCATTGACCAGGGCGAAGGGACGGTCCCAGAAGGACTCCGACACGTCGATGTAGTCCGACCCTCGGCCGGCGGCGGTGGCGTCGGCGGCCCCGAGTGGACCAGCCGCCCGGGCTTGGCCGATGGCGGCCCCGGCCCCGGCCGCCGGTCGCGACGCCAGCATCGCACTCAGGTGGCTCTCCGGCATCAGCGAGCTGGAGGGCATCATCAGGACCGACTCCTGGCCATGGGGGTCCGGCATGGCGAGGGCCGCCAGCGCCGACGGCCCGGCGGCCAGGCCGGCCGAGGGGGCCGCCCCCATCGCAGGGGCACGAGATGCCGGGCCCGCGGCCAGGCTGCCCGGCCCGGGGGCCCGCGCCGACAGGAAGTCATTCTGCCCCATCAGGACGAGGCAGCGTTCCCGGAGTTGGACATTGACCGCGCGCGAGGACCGTAGTGCGCGGTCTTGCAAGCGCAAGCGCGCCTCCAACATGTCCACCTGCTGGCGCAGGAGCGACTCGCTGCTGCCATGCTGCAGGGCCGCCCGGGCCAGCTGATCACCGGCGAAGGCGGCCGCATGCTGCGACTGGGCAAGGTCCCGGTCCAGGCGCCTGCGAGCCGGCAAGGGAAAGCACCCGGCGCCCCCCCGCCGAACGATGGGCAAGCAAGACGCAAGTCAGTGGGCCGGCACCGGGGATCCCAAGAGGGAGGGGGGGGAGGGGAAAAAAAGAAAGGAAAAGAAGAACAGCCGGAGGGCATACCGGATGGTCCGCTCCATCTGGGCGGCCTGCTGCTGGAGGGTGTGATTCTCGATGTCCCGCTGCTGGAGCTGCAGCTGCAGGGCCTGCAGCTGGCTTTGGAGCTCGGCCACCGTCGGGCCCTCGGGCTCGTCGGGGGCATCGGCCGTCATGGCCGGGGGCTCGGGCGGCGAGCCACCCTCGGGCAGGCTGGCCGGCAGCCCGGCCTCAGCGCGGAAGGGCGCATCCCCGGCCCCCGGGGACCCGGCCAAATTCGCCTGCACGGCCAGCAGCGCACGCTCCAGGGCATCGATCTTGCGCTGGGCGCGGAGGGCGCGCGCGGTGGCCGCGGCGCAAGCCGAGTCGGCCGCCTCCGCCCGCTCGGTCGACAGGCGGGCCTCATCTCGGAAGCGCGCCACCCGCGAGCGCAACGACGATTCCCACAGCTCGCGCGTCCGGCGGACGGACAAAATGTCAGCGCGAGCCTGCGCGGCGGCCGCCTCGGCCGACCGCAAGGCCGAAGCCAGGCGCAGGTTCTGCTCGAACAGGGCCTCCGACCGCTCGTGCGCCGACACCAGCGACGAGGAGGCCGCATCGTGCGGGATGGCCAGCAATTGCGGCCCGGCGCCGGCCGTCGGCGGGAAGAGCAGACTTCGCAGGGGGGCCGCGGCGGACCCGGCGGCCGGGCCGCCGGCGCCAGCGCCACCGACGCCGCTGCCAGCCCCGGCCGACTCCTCGGCCCCGGGGTCGACGACCCCCTGCGACGCGGCCAGCGCCGCGGCCGACATGGCCGATCGCGCCGACCCGAGAATGGACTTGGTCGTGGCCAGGATGGCCAGGCTGGAGGAGGTCCGATGCAGCGAGTCATTCTGCACCTGGCGCAGCTGGGCCGTCAGGCGTTCGCGCATGGACCGCTCGAAGAGCAGCTCGCTGCGCAGGAGAGCCAGCCGAGGCGGAGGGGGCTGGGCCGGCAGGTCTGTCGGCTGCTGCTGCTGCTGCGACGGCGGCGGCGGCGGCTGCGACTGCCCCGGTGTCCCGCCGGGAGCGGTGCCCGCCTCGGCACGGGCTTCCTCATCCTCCTCGGCCGGGGGGAGCAGTTGCAGCGCGCGCAGCGACAATTCCGGCGCCTGGCTGTCCAGCTCCAGGCTGGCCTCCGAGAACCGAGGGACCAGGTCATCCGGGTCGATGCGTGACAGCCGGGCCGTCGACGACTCGTACTGGCAGACCGACCCGACCGAAACATACCCCATGAATAGGTGGGGGTGCAAGGGGAGCCGGGCCAGGTGCGACTGCAGCAGGCCACCCACGAGGGCGGAGCAGGGGCGGAGCAGGGGTGCCGGGGAGAGGGGCAAATACAAAGACAGGAAGAGGACCGAGCAGGAGATACGCCATCCTCGAAGGTGTCAGTCGAAGTGGGCACACTCCGCGAAATGAACACCGACCTATGTTTGTGTGTGCGTGTGTGCATGCGTGTGTATGCGTGCGCACCATCAGATACTTGACCAGGTGGTCATCCTCCGGCGAGTGGCCGACATCCAGCAGCAGGGCCTCATCCGGCGTGGCGGTCAGATCGAGGCCGCCGCCGGCCAGGTCGGCCGACTGGGCCCGCGAGTGTGCCCGGCCCGGGCCCAGGGCCTGGGCCACCGGCTGCTCCGTGTACACGGCCAGGCCGCGCATCAGCTCAAACACATGCATCGGGCAGAGGGTATACAGCAGCGAGAGGAAGGGCCCGAGGGCCGAGTCGATCTGGCCTCGGAGCTGGGACACCTGCTGGTGGGCGGCCCACACCCGGGCCGCCGCGGCCCGTGGCCCGTCCGGCCCGGCCTCCGGAAGCGGCAGCACCGGCACCACGATGTCCGGGGTCAAGTGTGCCACCGGGGCGAAGGTGTCCCACGGCCGGGTCCAGTAGCCGCGGCACACGGCCACGGCGGCTGGCTGCCGGGCGTGCGCCGGCAACGGCCCCATGCCACCGCCACCGCCGCCGCCCCCGCCGGCACGCTGGGGCAGCCCCGACAGGAAGGAGGCCACCAGGGCAAAGCGATCCGGCGGCAGGAGCCCGGCCAATTCGCCCGGCGGCAGCCCCGGCGACGTGGGAAGCCCCGGAGCCGCGCGGTCGTCCTCCGGCCCGGGGCCCGGCCCGCCGGAGGGGCCAGCGCTGCCGGTGCCACCGACACCGGACGCCGGGGCCGCCGCACCCGCCAGGCGCTGCTGCATCTTGGTGGCAAAGCGACTGAGGGGGAGGCCGCGGCCCGGCGTGGGCCCGGGGCCGGGGGCCGATCCGGAGACCGGCCCGGAGACCGGGCCGCCGGCCGGCGAGGCCGCCCCGGCCCCGGTGGCCGCCCCGGCCCCCGGCAGGTCGCCCTGCCCGGTCCCGGCGGCCAGGGCCAACTCCAACCGCAAGAGCACCCGGTTCAAGCACCGGAGCCAGTCAGCCGCGCACAGCAGCACCCCGAAGAGCGCCGGGAGCCGGCACTCCGAGAAGGCCACCACCCGCGGCAGGCACATGACCAGCGCCCGGAGGGCCGCGGCAAACAGCTCCGGCGACCGGTCCCGCAGCATGCTCGTCAGCAGGGCATCCAGCAGTGGCACCTCCGCCAGCACGTGGAGCTTGCTTTCGCAATTGTACATCTGCTCGGCCAGGAGTTCGGCCGCGGGCAGCCGGCGCTCGGGCACGGCCCATGCCCCGGCCAGCTCGCCCAGGTACGGCAGCGAGCCGGACAACGTGGCCGGGTTCTGCGCCTCGGCCCACGCCTCCAGCAGGGGAAGCAAATTCTCCGGCGGCGGCGGCGGCGGCGGCAGCGGCAGCGGAGACGGGCCGGCTGCCGACCCGGGCCCGGCCTCCCGCCCCGGGGGGTCCTGCGCCAGGAGCAGCGCGCTGCCCCCCTCGCGCAGGGCCGCCAGCGAGGCATGGCCGCCGGCCACCGAGCGCGATGTCAGCGCCAGGGCCCGGGCAATGTGCGTCTGCTTGAGTTGCATCGAGCCGTCCAGGGCGGCGGCCAGCAGCAGCGGCCGGGGAAAGGCCGCGCAGGCCGGCCGGCCCAGCGGATGGGCCAGCCCCAGGAAGAGCCCGCGCACGGCCGCCTGCGACCCGGTGAGCGACACCTGCCGGAGGAGGCGCCGGGCCAGGGCCCGGGCTCGGGCCGTCCGGCGACGCTCCCACCCGGCCAGGCTGCCGGGGCCGCCGGCCTCGGCCGGGCCCGCCAGCCCAGGCAGGCGCCCCCCGAGGGCCAGCTCCAGCAGCAGCCGCACGAGCTCCGGCTGCCCGCCGGCCAGGACCGGGCGCAGGAGAACCCGCTCCAGGCGCTGGCCCAGGGCCCGGGCATGGCGCGCGGCATTCGTCAGCCCCGGGGCCGCGGCCTCGCTCGGCAGGAGAACATGCGTGCCGGCCGGGCCGGGGGCCGAGGCCGGCCCGCCGCCGCCGCCGCCGCCGCCGACAGCAGCAGCCGTCGTAGTCGTGGTTGGTGTGCGCCGCGCCGCCACCGGATCCAGGCGTGTGGGCGACCGGCTGCTCGGGCCCGGCGCCGACATGGACGCCGTGCGCAGGCGCTGGGCCTGCAAGTGTGCCAGCCCCGGGTCCTCGGCCAGCAGGGACCCGGCCGGGGGGATGACCAGCGCCGGCAGCTGAGCCAGCGAGGAGGTGCGCGACCGGCCCGACCCCACCGAGGGCGTGGGAGAGGCGGTGCCGGCCAGGCCCGAGCCCGGCATCGGGTCCAGGGCCGGGGCCGGCTCCGGCGACAGTGGCGGCGAGGCGGCCGGCGAGGGGACCGCCGAGGCGGGCGCCGAGCGCAGCCGATCCACCGGATGCCGCACGGCCGCCGGGGCCGGCCCCTCGATGGTGCCCACCGGGGGGAGACCCTCGCCGGCATCGGCCCCCGGGCTGGGCGGCGGCGGCGGCAGCAGCTGTAGTTGCTGCTGCTGCTGCAATGCCGCGCCGGCCGCGACCAGCGGCAGGACCGACGTCGAGAGCGAGGTCACCGGCGAGGGAGACCCCACGGCCGGGCTGCCGGTCGGGCCGGTGCCGGCCCCGGGGTCCAGGTCCAGGGCCACGGCCCGGGCCGACAGCGACCCGACCGCTGCCATGCTGGCGCTGCGCGACCGGACAAAGGTGGGCAGGGTGATCGACGGCGACACCGATGAGGTGGGCTGCTGCACGGGGCCGGCGGCATGCGGGGACCCGAGCCGCGGCGAGGGCGGGCTGCCCGGGCCGCTGCTGCTGCCGCTGCCACTGCCGCTGCCGCTGCCGCTGCCATCCGACCCGACGGCGCCGGCGGCCTCCCCGGCCAGCGGGGACGAGGGGACCAGCACAAAGCCATCCCCATCGATCGAGTCAGTGGGGCTGGCCGGCCGGGAGGCCTCGGCCGCCGAGCCCCCGAGCGGGTCCACCGACAGGTCCATCATGGCGGCCACGGGCCGCGCGGCCAGGTCCAACTTCAGCAGCACCCGCAGGCCGAAGTGCAGCCACTCGTACAGGTGCCCCCGCTGGCGGAGGCTCCCGGCCAGGGGCAGGGCCAGGCGTGCTGTCCGGGGGGTCATGTCGGCCGCCGCCAGCGCATGGTCCAGGACATAGGGCGAAGGGGCCTGCGGGGCGGCCTGCCCACCGCCGGGACCCGACCCGGCCCCCTCCGCGCGCTGGACCAGCTGCCGCAGCAAGTCCGGCACCTTCGGCCCGTCCAAGTGCGGCAGGGCCTCCGGGATGTCCCCGGCGCCAGGGGCATCCAGCAGCACCACCTGCGAGTCGTAGTACTTTTCCGGCACCGCCAGCAGGACCTCCAGCATGTCCAGGAAGCTGGAAAACTGCCGACACCAGTGCCCGGCCAGCCGGGCGGCAGGGCAGTCAGCCGGTCGGGCAGGCGAACACCGGTCAGAGACGGCCACCGGCCAGGGCGCAGCCGCCCGAGAGGAGGAGGCAGAGAGAGAGGGAGAGAGAGGACACCAAGCACTGGTCCCGCGCATGGCACACGCAAGTAGGCTGCGGACGTACCACCTGCAGGTCGGACACCTGGAGCGCCGGCGATTGGAGATGCGTGGCCAGCGGCCCGATCAGCGAGTCAAATAGATTGGTCTGTGCGCCGGAGCAGGGAGGAAGACCGTCAGACAGGGCAAACAACCGGAGCGCCGGGAGAAGGGCAGGCCTCGCCCCGGGGGGGGGGGGGGTGGGCCCGCTCGCCGCCCGCTCGCCGCCCACGCCCACGCCCCCCCCCGCGCCCCCTGCCCACTTTACCGGCCGGACTGGCCCTCCCCAAGCGCACCGTATACAGAGCAACATTCGAGGAGATGCAGATGGCCAGGCCGGGAACCTGCCGCAGGCCGGAGGAGGGCTCCGGGCCCGGGGCGCCGCGCGGGCGAACCTGCTCCGAGGATGACCCACGCTCAAGGCGCCCGGTGGCCGGGGCCGGGACCACCGGCGCCGGGTCCGTCTCGTTGTCGGCCTCGGCGGGGGGCCCGTCAGCCGGCGAGGGGGCCTCCGCCACAGGCAGGTCCCCCTCGGCCGGCCGGGCGCGCGGCACAAACACCGAGCAGCTGGCCCCCGAGATGAAGGCCGAGCGGGTTTGATTGTTGGCCAGGTGCTCGCCCAGGGCAAGCAGATGTGCCTCGATGTTCAGGCTGGCGTAGTGCTCCGGCAGATCGGCCGCCGCGCCGGGGTCCGTCAAAGTGGCAGGCCCCGGCCCGAGGGCCGGGCCCCGGCCCGGGGGACCATCCGCCGACCGGGGACCCTGCGACCCGGCCGACCCCGGGGCCGACCCACTCGCCGGCGGGCTGCCCAGGACATCGGCATGCTGCGGCAGGGAGCCCGGCGGGCCGGCCGACCCCGGCGAGGCGGCCGCCGGCCCGGGCGCCTGCTCCACGCTCGAGGAGGAGAAGGCGTCCCGCAGGGAGGCCGTGATCTTGTCCTGCTTCATGGCGGCGGGCGTGCGCGCGTGCGGGGCCCGGCGGGCGTCGGCCCGGTCGCCAGGATCAGAGGGGCGGAGCAAACACGGAGGAGGGGAGAGGGAGCAAGCGCAGGGCGAGGCGCGGCGGGGCAAGATGCGGGCAGGAGGCTGTGTGGCTGGCGCGACGGGAAGAGGAGGGGGGAGGGGGGAGAACTGTGGCGGGATCCCGGCGCGGCGCCGGCCCCCGGGCC